AAATCACATAAAAATAAGAACTTTTTAAATAGTTGATTTGATATTAACATTGATATATATATTTTTTTATGATATTTTTAAATTTATATTTTGTTCAGAATAAAAACATTATAGCTTTCTTAAAAACACATAAAATCGTATTATAACATCGACACAGAGACAAATAATAAAATAAAACATTAAAATCGAGATGTGTCTTGCTGCATTGTACTAGTACTCTTCTAGTAGTGAAAAGCGTAAGAAGATATCTGAACTCTTAATTACTTTTAATTCCATGTCCACCTATGAATTGTGCTTTAGAAGAGAATTGATTTGGGGTGCATCTTAATGTACTTCATTAGTGTTGATATTCAATTATGATTGATCCAAAAATGGAGATCTCTTCTTATCATAACTTCTCCTTTTACTGAAACCCAACCCTTTCGGTTTAATCTTATACACCAGGCCTAAGAGGATACTATATCCCAACCACACAATATGCATATCTGAGAGGTACCTCAGCAGATCAAACAACTTTACAGGACTTTGATCCATCTTAAAGGTACTCGAATAAAAATTCTAAGCCAACCGCTAAAACATAAGACAAGAAGTTGGTTTTTAAAAGTATATAATATTTATATACGAAAAATAGGTAAATAAACTCCTACACCCTCTTGGCCTCTTTACATTTGGTGAGGTTTGAACCCCTTAACTCTTAAATAATAATTAATTATAAATATAATTAAAAATAATGACCTTGTTGATGGGAAGTTGAGCCAAGTATAGATCATCATTACGGCCGGTTATTCTGGACCGTAGATAAGGATCGACGGAGATCAACAGCAGCTGAAGTGCCATCTGCTCATCGGGAATTGATTCATAATCGAGCGAAACGGTGACCGTACGAAGCTTCAGATGATCTGACGTCGGTAAATTTTCCGGTGCAATGGCTGCTAGATACCATTCTCTGCTTTCCACCACCGTCGTCGCCGCCGCTACTCCACCGCCACCTCCCATCTCTCTCTCTCTCTCTTTCTTCTGTTGGTGAGAAATTTGTTGGAGTAATGATAACACAGCTCGAAGGTTGTCGTTAAATAGGAAAAAGTTCGGGGGTTGATATCCCCACCCCGTTACGTCATTTCTCACCCCCTCCCACTCACATCTTTCCCTCACTTACACTCTCACGTTCACCAAATTTTTTAAAAATTTAATTTTAAATTTACACTTTATACCCTTATAATTAATTAATTAATTTACTTTACATCCTTTTCTTTTAAAATTTTTATTTTACACCCTTATCAAATTAACA